CCCCTCAGCGCCGCACACGATGTGTTTCAGGTGCCGGACTCGCAATACGGCACGTACGTGTGGCCCTGCGCCGTGGTGCTGGCTCAGTACGTGTGGGCCCACAGGGGAACCCTGCCCGGAAAGCGGGTGCTGGAGGTACGCCCCCCCCCCCCCCAGCGGTCCCTCTTGTCCAACCCCATTCCCGCTCCGTGCCTCCGCTTTGGTTCCAGGTGGGAGCGGGTGTAAGCCTGCCTGGCGTGCTGGCCGCCAAGTGTGGGGCTGAGGTGATGCTATCAGACAGCGAGGAGCTGCCGCGGTGCCTGCAGAGCTGCCGGAGGAGCTGCCTACTGAATGGGCTGCCCCACATCCCTGTCCTGGGGCTCACCTGGGGGCGCGTGTCCCCAGAGCTGCTCTCTCTTCCGCCTGTAGACATCATTTTAGGATCAGATGTCTTTTTTGACCCCAAAGGTATGTTAATCCTCTCGGGTATCTTTGATTTGTAACAAACTGCAAGGACTTTGCATCCACGTGGTAGCAGAAACACTGTCAAAGAGAGCAGGTGTCAGCCTTAATGGTGACACTGTGCTATTTACTTGTTATTGAGGTAATTTAGTATTAAGCTGTTATAAATACCACCAGAAGGTGGGTGTGGAAAAAGGAGTTACCAACTCACTGCTCAAGGCCATCTTCTCAGGCCTCCTATTGATTTCCAATTACAATTTCATATAACCAGGCATATTTAACAATACCTAGAACCCAGAGACTAACCAAGACTGCTTCATTTTCCCAAACTACACAGACTTCGAAGATATTTTAACTACAGTTTACTTCTTGCTGGAAAAGAATCCACATGCTCAATTCTGGACTACTTATCAAGTCCGAAGGTAACTGCTTTTGTGTATTTAAAACTAAAATCTCAATTCCTATGCCCCATCTCAGCTCTTAAGGAGTGTTAACTTCCCAGAGGCACCACTGCACCCATTCCAGAGCAGACTGTCCATCAGGCTGGTATTAGCCAAATCCTAGGGCTAGTATAGCCAAAAGCAGCCCAACCATGTAATAATCCAAGAACCACCAATTATGCTGTTGACTAGAAAGCTGTTACCACCTTAGTTTTGTGAAGTGCTGCAGTAAGTTTGTGATACTTTCCTGTAATTACCCAGCAGTTACAAACCAGGATTGCCTTCACACACTGGTATTCCCTTCCCTCAGTGCTGACTGGTCTATCGAAGCTTTGCTCTACAAGTGGAAACTGAGGAGCATTCCCATTCCCTTGCACTCCTTCAGAGCAGACAAAGAGCACTTGGCCAGCTCTTCCCTACCAGGAAGACATACCATTGAAATGATGATCATCTCACTAGCACAAGCAGATGGTACTTAAGTTTATTCCACTTGTTTCCAATACAAAATGATACTGAACGGGGAACTGTGTGTTGTAGCACAGACCAGGAGGAAACAGTCTTGTTTATAGCAAACCTCATGCATATTTGATGGGAAGCAGATCCCTTTAAGTAATCCTTAAAACATGCATTGTAAAAATAAAGCTGTTTGATTGTTCAGCTATGGCTTGAGAAATTTGTGCTCCTCCTCAAAGACCATGCTGTAAGTTCAAAGACCCTATGTCATTCTGTGAGCCGCTATACACCAGAGCAGAACCACCTGAAAAGCCAACTTGGATTTACAACTTCAGCTGTGAGGAAGAGTTAGCCACACTCAAGATTAAAGAGAGTCAGATCTGTTTCCCAGGACTGAGGCTTTTCCCCAAAGATTCACATACAAAACCCAGCCCCTTTGTTTTTAAATTACTTGGTCTGGTCATGCAGCCCTGGAACATACAAACTCCTTTTTGTAGAAAAGTACTTTTAATCCTCAATCAAGACAAATTGCAAGTATTCAGACGTTTCCATTCCCACTTGACATACATGCATAAAAGTTAACAAAGCATTACAATAACCCTTGACACACAATGGTTTAAGTTACAGTTCATTTGGTATCCAAATCAAGAAATAGAAATCATCACTGTAAAATTAGCTACCGCCAAGCAGCAGCCTATTGCATCAGGGCAAGTACACAGCAAATGCAATTAGTACTGCTCCATGTCTATCTTCACAATACTGGTTAATGTTTGCCCTTAGTAATTTAAAAGCCACCCCAGTAGATAAAATTTGTAAGCAGCAGAATCCATTCAATTACTACAGAGAAGTTAAACATTGTCAATGGAATTGCAGAAATCTTTCCAAGCTAAAAATAAGCTGACTCAGACATTAAGTTGAGAAAAGTTAACACAGAAAAAAATGTTTAATTAAACTACAGAGACAGTGGGTATAGTATAGAATGTCTTAAGCAAAAGATACACCAATCAGTACTTACAAAGGAATGAACCATTTCTTGTCTTAACATTACATTTCTTGTATATATAAGTTCATATATGTAGGTTGGTAAAGTTTTACCATTCTGGAAAAAATAAGGTGTGTATATCATCAGCTAGATGTGCTCACTGTATGCTCCATTATTTATACGCAAGGCCCGGGTGACTGGAAGTGCAGTTGTCAGGCATTTTAATTAACTGGACAGCCATTTGTTTCTGCACGACAAGGCATCGTTACACAGGAGCAATCAGGAGAAAACAGGAAACAGCCAAGCACTCTGCACTGCAACACGCCACCTTAACAGCTAACCAGCATTACTCAACTGCTACACAACTGCGCCTAGTGCACAAAAATACATAAGAGAAGAGATTAGAATTGAGGCTGATAAAACAATCCTTTTCAAATATTAACTGTCACCTGAAAAGATTTCTATCAATTTGATTTTAAAGATACTATTTTAATTCAAAGTAATAATAATAATTAAAAAAAAAAGCATTTACAGTTAGGTTTCAAATTGAAGTCTTGCAGGGTTTTATTTAAGGAATGAAGACAAAATTGAGAATAGTTTTTGACAAGAGTTATCTACTCAGCATGTAATGGCTGCCCATTTCCTCAATATGAAACTGGAGGCAGCAAGTTACGATCAGTTTTAATTTCAAATAGAAGTCAGCACTATATAAACAAAAATGAAGTTTTACCTCAAATATCCAAGCCAATAATGAAATCGGTAGTCGTTCACTTCACTAAATTACAAGAAATTTGAATAACAGCAACAAAATGGCACATAAAATGTAAAATCTGCCACTTGAGGCGCAACTTAAGTAAAAAGTTAGACAAAATGTTACAAAATAACCTTTTCATCAGCTGGTTGCTTGGGCCAGGGCTCTCCAAAGGACTGAAGACTCAAGCGATCCTTTCCCCCCAAAGGCGTCCTTTATGGAAGCTCTCATTTACGTGATGCATCTAGGTTTGAAGAAAGAAAAGTTCAGCCAGGTTTCTACCTTGTCTCTTTTGGTTGTGGGGATGACTTCTGGTATACTCCTAGTTGTGTTTCAACTGGCTTTGCCTAATTTAGTTAAGTTTCAGGAGTTTCCATAGTGTTCCACCTCCCCCCCAAGTGTGTTGCTTTACTTCAGAGGCCAAATGTAAGGTTTTGTGTCAGAATATTTAGTTACAAAGAAGAATAAGCATCAGGCTGGAGATCAAGCCACCATTAACTTCAATTCAGCCTGTTCAACAATAGGTTATTAAAAGTTATATAAAAGTTACAAAACTAGTACTTCTTAAAAACTTAACTAAACTCCTAAGTAGCATTCAAAACACAAAAGGTGACTAATTTTGCTACAATTCTCTAACTTCAGTTCTAGCTTAGGCCCTTTCCTTTAAAAAACAGGACCAAACAGTTTGAAGGGTTAAAGACACACTATCCTTTCCCCACCCAGTGTGTATCCTTAGATGCCTCTTCAAGATGTCGACTTGAGGAAAAAAACCTAGTTTCCGTGGTTGTCTCGTTGCATGGAATTTGCCACTTTTCTATAACAGTTATTACCTCCAGTCAGTATAATGGCCACTGAACCGATCTTCCATTATAAAAGGATAGTGTATCTTTAACAGTTAAAGACAAACCTGCTCCAATACACGCCCACAGAAACTGGTCCCTGGAGGATCAGCCAAATCAGTTAAAATCTGCAATACTGGCCAATATTCTTTTAGCAAACAGGAGACCGCAGCTTTAAAGGGGAAAATGCAGATGTTGGATAAATACAGTAAGAAATAGTCATTTTTCATCATAGGTTGCGTCTCATACAATATTTTATTAAAACCAAGCCATTAATCTCTCAATAAAACATTTTCTCTGTTTAAAAAAAAAAATCTATGTAGAAAGCCCTTTGGTATTAATTTCCCTAAACCAATAACCAAAAAGCACTGCTCAAGTAAATAAAAACCAACTAACAATGTGCCCCATTAGGATCCACTTGCTTCCAGCTATTAATACTCTACAAACTACCCGACACCCCACCTAAATACTATAATAAAGTAACATGCAACATATGCTGACGCTGAGGTACATTACCATGTTCCTAGGAGGATACAGCTCCTTCTTCTTCCGGAGACTTAGGAGGGCTCTTGGACCTGGATCTAGAGTTGGATTCCCTCTTTGAGGCAGGGGGAGGGCTTCTAGATCTGGACCGGGATCTAGACCTGGATCGGGATCTGGAGACAGATGAGGACTTTGACTTGGATCTCCTGGCAGACCTGGACTTGGAGGTGGAGCGAGACCGAGAGCGTGTGCGAGACCGGGATTTGGATCGACTGTAGCGGGACCGACTGCGGGATCTAGAGCGGCTCCTGCTTCTAGATCGGCTGCGACGGCGTCTTCTAGGGCTAAAACATACCAGGAGGGGGAGGGCAAAAAGGCACGTTAAAAGTTGAACAGGGGCGGCGCAAAAGACTTCAACTACTTCAGGACAAGGAGGGCAGAACGGGACCCACGTGGGCAAGAAAATGAGTGTTCCGGGAGCGCCATTGTTCGGAGTGAGTGGCCGGGGGCTAAATCTACTACAGGGCGAAACCATTTCGCTCCGAGGAAACTCCACGTGTCTTCGGTACCAAACCCCTACTCCCCGCTCCCAACTCCGCCACGAAACTCACTCGGAAAAGGAAACAAACCCAAGCGGTCCC